ATGATTGGTTCCTTCAGGCACCATGGCATCATTCCATGGGACGATGATGTTGACGTCATGTTAAACTGGAATGACTCGTCCAAACTCTACAAAGCATTGAGCCAGTACAAGAATGAAGAATATTCGGTATATGCCGGTCTAGTAGCATCACTATCCTCATACATATTCAAAAATACCGACAACAATATCGACTTTAACATGCGGTTCGCCAGCAAACGGTTTCAGTGGAAGTATTACTCAAATAAGGCCAGGAAAGTACTCATCTGGCCTTACAAATATCCGTACATCGATATTTTTTTTTACGAAGATAACTCCACGCATCTCAAATTATCCTCCCAATCTTTCCCAGAGATTTATGAGAAGAAGTTAGATTTGATGTTCTATAATTTTTTTTTGATCTCTTGCACGACATGATCTTATGAACGAAATCACCCGTCTTTATTTTTCTGATTTTCTGCATTTTGTTTATAAATCAAAAAATTTGGTTGATGAGTTTGAAATTGGCGTAGAATCACGTCACCAATACCAGCATGAAGTCGCGGAATTTGATTAAAAATGCATTTTTAATTTCATTCCGTTATGAATGCGAATGTAAGTTTTCAAGGTTTTATGATACCTTTTTAAAATATCATAAAATATTTCAACCAATTTCAACCAATTTCAAATTAAATTCCGAGTAATTGATTGAAATTCTCGCGTTAACTTTTGAACCGGCAACTTCATGGCTGGTGACTTAATAGATTTTTAGCCATATCAACTAATGAAAAATAGTAGCAGACAGACGAATCTTTTGTTTAGTTTAGTTTATGTTTAGTTTAGTTTTAGTTAATGTTTAGTTTAACTTCATGCAATCATAGATAAACATAATTGGAGACTGGTTCTTAAACGACGTTGTTTTGATACTGTATATTATGTCAAAATTTGTAATGAGTTTTGTTTAATCGAAGTTTATATTTTCTACAATGAATGATCATTTGCCCCACACCCCCCTCATTAAATTTGGCCGCTACCCTACCTTTACCCCAGTCTGCTCCACTAGGAACCTTAACTATTCCAAACTTGCACCGCCCATATGTAATAAATAATATTATTTAATAATATATAATATTAATACTAATAATAATAAATATTATTATTAGTAATAATAGTAATCAATTTATTGAGAAGAACTATATGTTGGATTGATAGACAGATATATATATATATATATATATATATATATATATATATATATATATATGTATTCAATTAATTTGTTATAGATATATATATATGTATGTATATATATATATATATATATATATATATATATATATATATATATATATATTCGATTATTTTGTTATAGATAACTATATATATATTCGATTATTTTGTTGTAGATATGGTAATGTAGTTTATTTTTATTGTTGTTGTTATTATTGTATTAACTTATTTTTTTTAATTTTATTTATTTATTTTTTTTAATTTTATTTATTTGTTTTTTTAAAAATACTATTTCATATGTTTTTTGGACATTTAACTTATTATCATTTATTAGATATGAGCGCATCTATTTAAATCTAGGCTCTTTATTTAAATGTTATGTTATGTTATTAAGTTGTCTTGAATAACTTTAAACAATATTTTCTGCAGGCTAATCTTTCCATTAAGCAGTCGACCGTTTGAAAGCCTCTCCTTACCGGCTCCTTGCAACTTACCGAAACTATTCGATTCCAGAAATATCGATATCGACACGTGCGTCTCGAGTTCGTTCAACCACAAAATCGATTTGCCGATGCTGAAATCGCCCATCACTGTTCCTTGCAAGACCTTGGATAAAAGTATCCCAACGGTTAACCGGACTCTAATAAATCGGAATAATTTCTTAAACCGATACGATACCAATAAAGAGACGTGGATTAGTAGGAAAATTAGAAAATTAGTGATTAGGAATGAGCTAGAGGGGTCCAAAGAATTAATAGTTGAGGTTTTAATTATCAATGACCGGCCCGTTAATGTCAGTATTTTAAAACCGTATTGCACTTAATATCTAAATTGTGACGTCAAAGGTACCAAAGATCATAAAATAATATAAGTTTATAAGATATTATTTTAATTTTAAAATAACAACAACAATAATAATAATAAATAATAATAATAATAATTGCCGTTCGGATAAACAGCAAAGGCGCCACTTCAATATTTTGTGTCATTTTATTGGCGTTAATATTTCTTATTTGTGTTTGTTTATTATATATATATATGAATGTTTGTATGTATGTAACCAAACAACAACATCCCAATCATCATCATCACCGCTAACAACATCATCATCAGCAACATCATAATCTTCACCATCAACACCTTCTTTTCACCATCGCCAAGCACCAAATTGTTGATTGTTCTCCGTGTTCTAAGTTGAAGTAGATGGAAGTTGGTTTGAAAAGTATTTAATTGTATCCATCATTTAGATCCCGGATTCGCATATTAGTAATTTCAATTTTTAGATCCGTTACATTAACTAATAAAAACCATCACTTACTACACACACACACACACACACACACATAAACATAATCATAGAAACAAACACACAGACAAACACACAGACAAACACAAACATACATACAAATACAAACAAACAATTATGCATACAAAGTAAAACAAACATTCATACCGACATGCCTTTAATAATATACCCGGATCTCATGTTGTTACACTGATGATTGCCATAGATGACTGATGATTTACCACAACACATACACACGCACACACATACACGCACACACAAAGCGATAGTTAACCCGTTAGGCAAGTTGTGTATATTTAATTCAGAAATAATAACTGTTTCATAAATATTCATCGATGTTAAACTACTTTCACGTAAGATTTTTTAAGATACATCTGCTATTTGGTGTGTGTGATAGGATATTTATTCATAATAATAAACAGAAAACCATACAGACACACGCAGACATGCAAACACACACATACGCATACATACAATTGTTTAGTTTAATGAATTCTTTCAATTAAATTGACCATTAAGGTTAAGTCTGATGTATATTTAATTTAATTATTTTTAATTTAATCTTTGTTTATACACACACACCACACACACACACACACATAGAGAGAGAGAGAGATAAAGAGAGAGATAAAGAAAGAGATGTGTCTAATATTACGTAACATTCACATATATACAGTTGGTTCCACACAAACAATATGCACAATATATAAAAATGTATATATATACTTATATAACTTATTTGTTTGTGTGTGTTGTGTGCGTGTGTGTGTTGTGTGCGTGTGTGTATGAGTTTGCGTATGTGTGCGTGCGTGTGTAAACGTACGTGTTTTCTAAAACTGTTTACTATTTAGATTATTTTCGGAGGAAACCAGGCAAATGATAAATTGCTACTCCTTTTCTCTCTCTCTCTCTCTCTCTCTCTCTCTCTCTCTTTCACTGAATTGATTATTTAAATTATTATTATTATTGTTGTTGTTGTTCTTATTATTACTATTATATTTTTTACGGTTTTTGTTGCTCCTACTAAGAAATCTTTAACATTATACCAGTATGGCAATATAATGTAATGTTTCTTCTAATTTTGAATACAACGGGCTTGAAAGTTAACAGCGTATACCAAATGATAGAACCAATTTGTCAACCAATCTTCAAATCACAAATGATAGAACCAATTTGTCTACCAATCCTTATCAGAGTTCGCAGAACGTGTGGCTTCCAGACTCCAAGCAGTTTTTGGAAAACTTGGACAAATATGATTTCATGTCAATTTACCAGTCTGGCCGCTAGCAGTTGACAGTTTAGTGGCTCCGTAGTTCGTATCGTAACAGATCGATTTTGACAACTCTATTGCATTGTATTGTATTTGTATTTGATTTGATGACTTGTATGGCGCCCCTCCAGAATGACATCAGAAGCGCTAGCATGGCTGTGGATTGTTGAATGGATGGTTTTTTAAACGTTTCTGGAACATCAGTCGATCCATGCTGCTGAATCTTTTCAGAGCTATTGGCAGTGCATTCCAAATTTGAGCTGCCGACAACGAAATTCTTCTTTTTTCCAAAGCGTGAAGATTTGTGCTGTGGACTCCCGAGATCTCCATTATCTATGTTGTCTGATGCTGAAGTCCGATGTTGAAGTCTGACGTTGAAGTCGTTGTATCTGGAACTCTCCAGAAGTCAGTTCTGGAGAATCTTCTGGTTTTCGTTGTAAGTAGCTGAAGCATTTTCCATACTTGGAAATTTAACTCAAAATACCGTGAGTTCGCTGATGACGTTCAGATAATAATTGGTTGTAATAATTCAGCCTTGTCGTTTGGATGTTTTGTAGATAGATTTGTCAGTCGTTGGCCTAACTGCTTGGAAGCGCCTACCTCCTCCCGATCTCCATGGAACAAGATCGGCATTGGAAGAATTTTCTCGAAAACTCAGAGTTCATCTTTTCATGAAGTAACCCACCTGATTCAATCATGCAGCGAGTTGAGTATTATTAGAGAGCTCTATATAAATTTCATAATGATAATAATAATAATTCATAAGATCATGATTTTTTATCTGTTTTTGTCTCACACACACACACACACACACACACCACACACTTTCATACACACATACAACCGTACATACATATATACATACACATACACACGTGTATACATACATACATACATACCAAACTATTTAAAAGACATACATTAAAAATTCCAAAGAAATTTTCTGCAGCAGCTCACACTCGCAGTAACGAGTTTAACATTTAACGTTACATGCTAGGATATTGCTTTTTTTATCTATATATTTGTTTGTTTGTATGTATGTTCGTTTGTATGTTTGTTTGTATATATGTATATACACGCACACACACACTTACATACACTCTAATACATTTGAATGAATATATGCGTGTGTGTATGCTTGTGTGGGTGTTTGTATATATGAATGTGTATCTTGATAATGTCTTCTAGTCCGTTTGTAAGTCAATGAAGATTTCAAATTTTAGAAAAAAAACATGATAGGTGTAAACTGTATTGTATAATACACATGCTCATTACTGTTCACCTTACATGCTAGTAATTTGAAAGCTTTTGATAAGAAGAGATCTGTCAGGAACATTCTATTCTTTCCGACTAAAACGCCAAAAGCTTGATGACATTATTTTCTATTGCTACTGCCTTTATTAGGACCAGAAAGTTTATCTAAAATACCTCGTTTTCAAAGAGTTATTCGAGAAATTTTGATGGACAAAAGACGTTACTATATTTTATAGATAAATCATCCCATCATATTTTTCGGTTATTTGTAGAGATTTTTTAGCCTCGATGTAGTTAAGAATAGAATTTCAGCAAATTTTTGGATGAAGAACTCTTCCAAAATGTTAATAATAAACCCGATCAATTCAGGTTATGCCCGCTTTTCTAAAGCAAAAAAAGTGTAAATTTACGATGAATTAGTCAATTTTGGCGACTAAATCAAATTTGTCTAGGATCTGGCATAAGCCAAATCCGGCTCTCTGATTATTATTCAAAAGTAGTAGTATGTATATATATATATATTATATAATTACAATTTTACTATTATATATATATATATATATATATATATATATATATATATATATATATATATATGTAAAATTACTTGTCGACCGTGTATATATCGATCATATATTCCTATTATAATTTTATTCCTTCATAATATTTCAAACACATACACACACAAACATACAGACGCAAATATTTTTGTGTATACAAATATTTATATATATATGATAATTTTGTCATGAATTATAAATTTACTTAAAAATCGTGTTAGAATGAACAATTTGTGAACGGTGGCCTGCGACACAAGAACTTTGTTTTCTTTTAGCTTTGGTCTCCTAATCGTTACCTAATTATTATTAATTTGGATTGATTGAATAAAATTTGATTTGATATATATTTTGGGTCTAGACTACAACTACAAGTTGAATAATGCCGAAAACGCAGTTATCTTTATAAATAATATATATATATATATATATGTATATATATATACATATTGTGCAATACACCACAAAACATTCAGTCTTACACGGTGTCCGCATATTCTACATCATAACTTTTATTCCCTTAGTTGATATTCTGTTGAATACGATGTTGTTGATTATTATGAATGCGGGTGTGACATGAGACAATAATAGCTAATGGCCTGCTTTTACATAGCTTCAAAGTTGTTAAATAAAAATCACAATTTAACGGTACACTTTTTTGATTATTATATTCATTGGTTTTTTATAATTGGATGTGATTGACATATATGCACATATAAATAGGCACACACACACACACTCACACACACACAATGTCATGATCTAATATTATATAATTTATTTTATTGTTGTAAAAATACTTCTAAATATTGATTCGTTTTATGTTATTTAATCTTTTAACTTTTAACATGATAAATAGAGATCAGTGAATCTATAGTCGACCATACAAGTAAGCCGAATTTAGCCGAATGCAAAAAAAACCTACAATTTCGGAAAAAAAAATTATTTCTTATTATGAAAAACAAGCTACTACTAAAGCAAACAGCAGACGATTCATGTCTACCCAAAAAATTGTCTACCCATAAAATTTTCATCGATATAATATTCAATCTCTTTAAGCTCAAATTCACATACATATTTTAACAGCTATGATGACCAAAATAAATTTTCCGCTAAAAATTCAACAATTAATGGCGGAAGTTAAGCTGTTTTAAGCTGCTTAAGAAGTTAAGCTACTTCGTTAAGCTGCGAAAAAAAAAATTCAACAATTATCCTTCTGGATTCCCGCCAGGTGATGGTTTAAACAAAAATTGCAATATTTGGTAATTCGGTCCTTAAAAAGAGCCAAAGATGAATGTCAAATTTCGCCCGAATTTTCAGAGCGTTTCTGGCACATGTACAGTTTACACTAGAGCCCCAAGCGGATAACCTCAATGCTTTATAGTATTGCTATCTTCTAATTTTAAACATGAGCATAAGATGACGGATAATGAGCAGTGCAGATGTGGGCATAAACTCTGCTGATTTCTTATATAACAATAACTCATATATAATTAAATATTTTTACAATATTCTATAAATTCTACCGAATGTTTGGCGTTAATATGTTTGTAGCTCGTTTTTTCGATTTTTCTCACCAAAGTGTTTTGGAGAACGTTTAGTTTATTAAAACTCAAAATAAACTTATTCTCCGAATTCATGCTGCAAATAAGGCCATATTTCGATTCCGAATGAATCATCATCAGTGCAAGTTGAGTGGGTTGGGAGTGAGGTTGTCCTTTTTTGTTGTATATATATTTTTGGTTTATTGATGTCAATTAGGACAGCTCCTGCAATTTTAAGACGCGTGTAGTAGTGTTCTGGTATATTACTTTGATGTTGCTGTCGAGGATTTCACGGCTTATAGTGATTGAGTGTGTTAAGCTCAAATGGGAATTGATAGTTTATGCATCGTAAGCCTTCTAGTCAGTGAGGAGGTAGTGGTAATCCCGATATATGAGTCATGTTGACATGCCTTTGTACAGATGAATGTGAATGAAAGATTGAATGAACAAACGAACGAACAAACGAACGGATGAATGGTCTCTAATGCGGCCCTCACAGCAAAATGTTTGCTCACATCCGACATAATGCTCCAAGACGGATCTACCGAAAACATTCATTCATTTATTGATTGTTTCTATCAAGACATTCTCGATATAAATAAAAAACAAACAAAAAAATCAAATAAAATGATGGAAAGATTGTTTAGTTAAAAAAAGAAAAAAAC